TTTTTTCCAAAGGAAATATGGGATTTTTTTTTTTTGCATGTCTATACATTAGCAAAAGCAAACTTTGACTTTGTAGCTGAGCAAATGGCGGGACATCTTGAAACTAATGTGTGTGGTTTGTGATTCTGTGGTCTAAGCAAGGCGACAATAGGCATGAATGTCTGAATGTTGGAGTAAGCACTGCATCTTGGGGCAAAATTACTTAATTTTGACTTTGAGCAGTAAAAGAAAATAGAGAAATAATTATTTAGTAGCAAAGAGGTGAAAGTCTTCTCTGATACCCAATGATCTGGGAGTCTACCAATGCTTCTGATAGCTCTGGGAAGAGCACAAATGAGGTTGAGTGCTCTCCAGATAGTTTTCTTCAAAGGACATTGAGTTAGTGTTAACACAATGATGGCACTTGTACCTGTGAACACTTGACAAACCCCCAAACCAAACACCAAAACAAACAGCACAGTGTGGAATGAGATAGTTGATTCTGCAATGACCAGATTTTGCTCCACATATCAAATCTTCATCACTCACCATGGAGTTCAGAGTTTTCTTGGACTTTTGGCTTGTTATACTTCAAATAGCATTTAGCCTTTGTGGGATGTGTGAGGACCATAGTAGATCAGTCTAGGAAAGCTTCTTCACAGTGTTAGGAGTGTGATGGTCGGGGAGAAGAGAGGGAAACTGAAGGTTGTTGGATGCAGGGAAAGATTGTTTGATGAAAGCAAAAGTAATAGACCTGGTATTCAGCATAATTCAGTCTGGCTCCTTGAGTTGTAGAGTCTTCAATTTAGGTATTGTAGAGAAGAAGGTTAATGTGAAAGTTCTCAACTTTTCCAAACTTTCATTTAATTATTAAAATAAAAGGGCAGGAAAGAGAAGAACAAGGATTGGAAAGGTATTAATACTACAGGAAAGACATTGCATGTAAAAAGTGGAAATAGAATCAATTTGCTCTTTGTACGGATGTATCAAATATAAATCTCCTGGCAGAGAAGGAAGTGCTGGGATAGGAATGCAATATTTCAGCAGGTCTGTCATTCCAGGAGGGTATAGCAGAGGTGTTTCCTTGCAGGAAAGCAGCTTGAATTGCCTCTATGGAAGGGCAATAATTCTGTGGTGCTATGGATAAAACTCATCTACACAGCTATTGGTGTGAGCTGTGCTATGGCAGGGGCTGTGTTTGGGATCTCTCCCAAGCCTGGGTGATTGGAGTCTGAACTCCAGGACAGCAGAGCAATTAGCAATGTTTGACATGAAGTTTGTTAACTAAGGTGGACGAATGTCACCAGTAGTGTATGTGCAAACTGGATAGGTCTTGCTATTTACAGCTGCTGATAATATACCTTCTGGTTTCCTGACTACAAACTAGTGATGGACTGACCTGGAAGTAGAATAGTGCTGATGATATTGCAAAGGTTCTTCTCAGCTGGGTGGGTATGGCACTGAGCAACCAGATCCTTCCTGATGTCTGGGCAGTGCAAATGTGTCACTCAAAGCAGAAGCTGGGCAAGATGCACTGATGATTAGGTCAAAGTCTGAAGTAGAAACAGCCTCTTGACTTTGTAGACTCATACTGCTCTCGCAGAGGCCAGAGTTAATTTCCAGAGATCCAAAACTTCCTGGGTTGTGTGCAGTGCGCTGTTTGGTCTCTCTCCAGGTTCCTGGTGGACACACACACCCCTTCATCTCATGCTCAGCCCCCCTGATCCCAAATAATTCATTTGCACAGAGCAATGGCTGGTGGTTTAATCGTAACAGTGGGGGATCAGGTGTGTCTAAAACAAAATAAAATAAAAAAATACCCCCTTCACACTCCTTTCTCTCCCACCTCGAAAAATTTCCTTGCAAGGAACAGCTCGGTCTTTGTGAGGAGCTGAGAAAGCATCCGACTCTGACACCGTTGCCTTACGGGACCTCACTCAGCCTAGGTTGCATAAAAGGGCTTTGTAGGATTATAAAGGTGCCATGCAGTGGCAGCTCCAAGGCAGCGTTTCAGGTGGGGGCACCGGCTCTCCCTGGCTCTGCTTGTGCTTGTTTATTATTGATGCCACGCTCTGAAAAAGTGCCACCACCTCGCCCTTCTTCCCTGGGGCTGCTGCATCTCTGCCCCTCTGCTGAAATAAGATTGGATCCAGTGCTGGGGAGGGAAAAATGTGTGCGTATGCACGTGTGTTGCTTTTGCCTATAGAGGTCTTCACCTGGAAGAGCTTCATTGCCTGTTGGCTAGGAAAAGCTCCTTTCCCCTAAATTTGCTCTTTGTCATCTTCTGGAGATGCTTTCCTCATTCATTTGCTTCACTCTGATTCAGACCAACTTGAAAGCCAGTGAAACCAGTCCAAGCAATAAGCCAGGCAGTGATGGATGTGTCTCGGTGTGCACATTGTATTGCTTGTTTTTCACCAGTTTGGACTTTTCTCTAATGGGTGAGGACAGGGCAGAGCTAGGTCAGGAAACAGGAGATGGAAAAAGGTGTTCTTCTGCTGTCCCTATAAGGATGACATGTTTGTGTCTAGTCTTTGGGTGGTTTTCTTGAAGGGGTGAAGTTGCACGTCTGCATGCTGGCCCAGCTCTCTCAGCTCACCATGGCTGTTACCCCCATGTCCCATGTATTACAGCTGGTGAACTCCTGCCTAAGTCTTCTGCACAGAGCAGTGAAAATGGACACTGATGATACCTGGTCCATTTAATCACTTTTCTATTGTTTCCCAGGACTTTCCATCCATTGGTTCTAAGTGACTGCTGGAGGACTGTCCTATGGTAGTGTGCTTAACACAAACTCCGTTTTCTACTTTTTCCCTGTCCCAGGCTCTTTATTTTGTTTTTATTTAGATGATTCTTATTGGGACCCACTTTAGAAATGTGTGATTGGGCTGTGCTATTAGCAACCATGCTTTGAAGTATCACAAAGCCAAGGATCTAAGGGGAAGGGGTTCAAAATCACCAATTGCTCTGCAGAAATCGCAGCCATAGGATCAATTCCCACGTCCCTCCTCAGTACAACAGCCATCTGTTACATGATACTTGGAGCTTATCTTTTCCTGAACACTTAGCAGAACAGTACCTGCTCAGTTGGAAAAGTAAAGTGGGGAGGGGGAGCTGTAGAAGATGTTTTTATGCCTTAGTCTCCCTCCTTTGCCAGCTGAGGGTATTTCTTGTGCCAACTGCAAAAGCTTGCAGGAATGAACCTTCAGAGCAGAAATAGTGATGAAGGGGATGAACGTCTTGGAGATTTTGCCACTGTGAAGCTCAGACCAAGCCACCTTTCTCATGAACAAGCCTCCTCAGTTCTGATTTAATGAGGCACCAGGGCTGGGTGATGTCCTGTCTCCTTGGGGAGCAGTCAAGCCCAAGTCCATACTCTGTCATAATCCAGACAGAGCAAAAACATAAGGGTTTTACATCTGTTAGTGCTTCAGATAGTGATTGCTATTTGGCCTTTTGGATGTTCTTATCATTTTTGGTGAGCTGAATTAGGGGGAAAAACCTGTTTCTTTGGAAACTTACACTGGTTACACTAGCTTCACTAGCTTTCCATGTTTCCCACAAATCACTCGGACTTCAGTTTTATTATTGCACTACTTTTTATTGAAATCCTAACACTTTAGAAGGTTACTGAAGGAGAACATTTCCCTGCACATCTTTGTTCACAAAAAAAAAAGCCCTACAAAAACCAACCAAAACCAGCATTTTTTTTTTTCTGACCTCATTAAATCATCAGTAATGACTGGATCTGTGTAGGATATTGCTGGCTGTGGCTCGGGCCAGGATTTTGTGCCCATTGTGCAAGGAAGTTTGGGAGTCAAAGCATCCTAGCTGCTTGCCCTCTAGGACTCTGCTCCTGGCATGGTGAGTCCTACTCATTAGAGAGAACCTCATTAAAAAAAGAAACAGCAAATTACTGCTCCCATAGGACAGGTGGGGTTTTAAAGTTTTCCAGGTTGAATCTGCATTCATCAAAGGGGTGAACATGTGTTCGCCTCCCTTGCCTACCACCCCACTTCCACAGGTGATCCTGGACTAATGGAGGTATCCAAGTCTGTGACACATCCCTGTGCAGGATTGCCATGTTCCAACACGTTTTCAATTCTGGCTTTAAGCAATTCTTCCTTTTTGGCTAGGAAAAAGTGTCTTCAGGTCCTCCGAAACACCGACATAGTGGTTCCCATTGACGGCGTGGACTGGCACCTGGCCGGAAAACGGGCAGAGCCAGGACTGTGGGGTGCGGGCAGCCTGGCCAGCAAAACCCACTCCTGAGCCCAGCAGATGTTCCTGCAGCCTCTCAGCTCCCTGGGGCTGATGCCAGCCTGGTCCTTTTCCAGCAGCTCGTCACTTGACACTGGGAACAGTACACGGGTGTCTTTTGTTGCACATTGTACCAGTCAAGGACCTTGTGCAAGGAGAAGGCAAGGGAGGAGGGAATGGGACACGTATTTCTTCAGGTCACTTTTAGAGTTTTTGAGCTCGTTTCCCTTGTAAAAGCTTTTGGCAGCATTGCCTGCTTGGATCCTGCTTGCAAGCCTCAGGCTGTGGCTCGCTAGGTTTTATGTAAGGATCTCTTCTGCTGGGGTCAATGTCTGTGTGTGGGATGAATCGCCCTATCCTCCTTCCCAAGCCAGTTCTGTTTGATGTCCTAAAGTGTTTTCAGTTGTTTTAATGCACATGAGAGTGGCTATAGTCCTTGTTTCCCAAGTTCATGCAGTTAGGTACCTTCAATTATTTTTTCCCTATTTCAGTTTTCAACACAGTCCTGTGGTGGAGATTGCCAAGCTCTGATGTCCAAACAAGCTCTGTGAGAGCTGGTAGAGGACATAAATCTAAATATTGCTTCTTACCTTTCTCCTCTTGCTCCCACCTTGTGCACACACTGCAGAGAGTAAAATCATTCCTTGCCCCCAGCAAGTGTATGTGAGTGCTTGGGCATGGAAAGCCTGATCTCACCACAGTCCCCATTTCTGTAGTGGGCTGTATTTCTTTCTCCTTACCAGTTTCCCACTCTTCCTCTGCAGGCTGACGGGGAATGAACCCCTGACCATCCTCCCTCTGACCTCAGAAATGGAGGAAGCTGCCGTCAAAGCCCACTATAAAGTCTGTGACCGCCTGAAGCTGGAGAAGAAGCAGCGCAGGATGTGCCGACGGGACCCCGGCGTGGCCGAGACTCTGATGGAGGCCATCAGCATGAGCGCGCTGGAGTGCCAGTACCAGTTTCGCTTTGAGCGCTGGAACTGCACCCTGGAGGGTCGCTACCGGGCCAGCTTGCTAAAGAGAGGTGAGCAGGGTTGAGGTCTTGGTCAGGGATGTTGACACCTTCTGCACTCATCAGCTTCCCTGATGTTTTGCAGAGCGGTCATCATCACAGAATCGCTCGGTTGGAAAAGACCTCAGAGATCATCATGTCCAACCGTTCCTGTCTACCCACTAAACCATATCCCTAAGTACCTCATCTACCCGCTCTTTAAATACATCCAGGGATGGTGACTCCACCACCTCCCTGGGCAGCCTGTTCCAGCTTCTGACGACCCTCTCAGTAAAGAACTTCCTCCTTATCTCTAACCTGAACCTCCCTTGGCACAGCTCGGAGCCGTTTCCCCTTGTTCTATCCCCCATCACCTGGGAGAAGAGACCAGCACCCACCTCTCTACAACCTCCCTTGAGGTAGTTGTAGGTGCATCCTTTGCTGGTGGTGGGTCACCATCTCCCCCAGAGGTCTCCAAAAAAAGCTTGTAGAAGGTCAAGATAAAGCCAGGCTCAGCTCATCTGTGAAAGTGCACAGCAGACAAAGGATGTGCTATATGGTGGTGATTTATGTGCCTGCACTAGGGAAGCAACCCCTGTCCACTTCCGTGGCCATGGCTTCCCTCCTTGGAGACTGGAGATGTTTGTGTGTGTATCTGCAGCCAGTGGCTATGGCTCCTCCTCGCTTCTGCTGGAAGTTGAGCTGTTGCTGGAGAGGAAGGTGTTGAAGTTCCCAAAGCTGTCCCCTCTTTTTAAGTTACTATTATTTTATTCATATTTATTGTGTCAACCTTTCAGGAAAGAAATTAAGAAAGTGCCTTGTTAAGGGAAATAAGGCAAAAGGGACTGTTCTGTGCTGGCCTGTTAGCAGGGGCAAGTGGAACAGGGCAAAACCTGCAAATGTTTGTGTCCTGTTAACCACAGAAAAGGTCCCTGGGTGTAAGTGGTGGGTAATTCCCACACCACTTCCCAGCAGCTCAAGTGGAGATGACCAGAAGCTGAGAGAGTATTGGAGGAGCATGTGATATTTTTATCTCCTTCCTTTGTGCTACCTCATATAGTCTGGTTTCTTGCATCCTCCCAGTAAAATCCAGTTCTCATTTCTGAACTGATCCTAACAATGCAGCAGAACCACGTTACAGATAGCTTGTGTGAATCTCAAGGGCTTTAGCGACTTCCAGAAAGTCCCACACTCAGCAAAGGAACTGGACCTGGAAACTCAGGGTCTGAGGTGCTCAAAGATAAGAAGTTTGCAGCAAAAGCTCCCCTTCCCTCGCTAATTAGCAAGAAGGAGTAATTCAGAAGCGCTGGGGCTTAACTAATGCACTGTCACTGACTGCATTGGAAACAAGGAAAGTCCTTATGAAACCCAAGAGGTCCAGCCAGAGCTGCAAGACATTTAAAAATATCCCTGCATGCCAGAGGAGTCTCTGGATTAGTGATGCCTTGGGAAAGCCAAGCACTTTCTCATGCTGACACCTGGAGGCCACAGCTTGTTCCTTCAGATGTGCCTCCCCCGTGGGCAACCCTCGGAAAGGGGTGTTTCAAAGCTGCCTGAAGTTGAGCTGCCTTAAAATACCAGAGACCTGACCCCCACCACCACCCCTTGTCAGGACCCCTTGTAATAAATGGCAGCGCTGAGGGTTGCAAGGCTCTGCCTGCTGTCTCATTCTTCCATGTTTTATGCCCCTGCAATATCTCTGCCCTCCACAGATGCTGTAAATCCTTCAGATGTTGTTCCTGCGGCATAACACACTGGCCTGTAAATCTTTCTCCTCCTCTCCAGGAGCTGCTGGTTCCTGGTTCAGCATTGCAGCAAGCAATACCCTAGGGCAAAGGGGCACATGTATCACCCATTAAGACACAGCTATTCAATTGCAATGCTGTGGGCTTGCTTCCTCTCCTCCTGGACCATCACAGCATTTTTAAGGGGAGGGGGGGTGGAACCACAAAATAAAACCCACATTTCACTTAAGAAATGTTTCTCCTTCCATTTTGCACTTGGTCACCAGAACAGCCTGGCTGCTGGTTTGCAGTTTGGGCTGATGCAGCCTGTTTCTTAAAATAAGGGGGGGATTGTTTAAGGGACTTGTTATCCTCTTTGGATACTCACAAACAATTTTGGAAATGGCTGAAACTGGATAGCAGCGGATGGCAGGCTGTCGATGCACTGGGGGTTAGAATGCCTGCGTTGATTTAAAGCTCATTATCTTGTTACAAAATATCTTGGTGCAATCAAATAGTGCATGGCGGAGATGGCTTTAAATCTGGCCAGAGCCAAATGTCACATGGGCTTGCTTGGAAGCTGCTTGAGCTGCCTGCAGGCGAGATGATACCCATGCTGATGGGCACCGGGAATTTGTGAGGCTTTTAGTGATGGAGAAGGGAAGGAACTGAGCCGAAGCTGATGGGGAGGTTGATGGAGGGGGAGAACCTGGCATATGAACCATTCTTCCTGGCTTCCTGTCAAAGCTGGGATGCATTGCGGTTGCACAGCACTGATTTTCTGCTGAGACTTCACAACTGCTCTGAATTCAGTGCTTCAAAACAGGAAGCCTTAAAGAAGGTTGCAGATCTGGGCTATCTATGAAACTGGGCCTCATCCAGGCTATGTGCTGCTAATTGCAGTGCCTTAGACTCTGAGGAGACTTTACATGCCCTATTCCATCCAGGACCTTCTGTCAGCACACTGGTTGCTCTCCATTTCATAGCACAAGTAGTGAGGCCAGTTCTATAACCTGTGACCACAGAGGCTTGGGAGCATCTGCCTCTAGCAGTGCCATCCTTCTGATAGGTGTCTGGGCAATCTGACCTAGGGTATAACCTAGAAAAAGCTGAACAAGCCTACAGAAGATGAAGGCTGCTTAGAAAGCATTTTCTACCCAGAGGAGTTTGGTCTGCATACCTGCAAGTTTTTGTTGTGTGACTTATGTAAAGAATTCTCCCACCACTCCCACTGAGAGAGTTTACAGCGCTGAAGTTTTTTCTGGGATGCCAGAGGAAGTAGTCAAACTTCAGGGAGAAAACAAAAGGAGAAAGACCTCAAATTTAGTTTCTCAACCCTGACCACTCCCTATGATGTCCTCAGAATTAAGCCATTTTATTTTAACCTTCTTTCTAGTGAGGGAAAGGTTCCTGGACTTTTCTTCCAGGTGAGCAGTAGAAAAGTTAGAGAATTCCCACCACGATCTGGTTTGAGTCAGCTCCCATAGGAGGACCAAACCTCAGTCTCCTGGGCTGAATTTCTGCCTGTCTTCTGCTGAAGTTCAGCATCGTGCACCTGGGAGTGTTTTGGGAAGGCAGACTCTGGGGATGGGCCAGGGTAGCACCTCATGGGCTTGCTTGGACTATCATGAACCTCCCAAGGAACCGTTCCAAAAATGACCTGGCAGTGTCTCTGCATGTCCTTGGTTGACACACCAGCTTACAGATATATCCACTACTGTCACCATCCACTTGTGTTATTTTTGAGTGGGGGATTTCTTGAGTTGGATCCAAAGCTGTTCTGGAATTGCATCTCAAATATGCAATCGTTTACGGCTTCCATAGCTGGAGAATGAGCAGCTATATATACTGGCATATTTGCTTTTTTATTTCTGGCTTTTATAATTCAGATTGAAATCATGGGTCTCTCTCTGTGCCTCAGTTTACCTGTTGAAGGGGAGCAGATGTTGTTGCATCTCTGCAGGTGAGCGTGGAGGCGTAAAAAAAGGTTGTGAGTAAGAGGTCTGAGGTGTAAACTGCTTTTTTGAGGCATTTGGGTGAGGTGCCAGGTTGGGTAACAGGCTGGCTACTGTGTGCTCCCCAGCCCTCAGATGCCTTTTGTTAACAATTCTGTTGGACTGCAATAGGATCCAGTGACTTTTTTTCTGAAGGAGAGAGAAAAACAAGGAGCCTTCATGGTTTCTATCACAACCATCAGACTAGAAGTCTGTGGTGGGTTCCTGCTATTTGGTGGCCCCATGGTAGAGGTATTGCAGTGCCATGGTGGTGGTACCTCCATGGCCTGCTCAGCTATTGCTCATCTCTCTGTTTTCAGGCATACTGTCTGCAGAGTGACAGCCACAGAGCTGGCCAGATTTCTTTCGGGTTATTGAATCTTGGCTTGTGCCACCTCTGTCCATCATTCCTTGCCCTCCACTGTGTCCTCTCTGCCATCAGTGATGCACCTAGAACTCTTTGACATTGCTCAGACTCTTCTCACAATGGGTTTTACCTCTATTTCCTTTTTTTTTGTGTGTGTTTTAGCCCTTGCTCCAGCTGCAATTAAAGCCACCTCCTCCTCTCCCTTGCAGGTTTTAAGGAGACAGCCTTCTTGTACGCCATCTCCTCTGCAGGGCTGACACACGCCATGGCCAAGGCGTGCAGTGCGGGGCGGATGGAGCGTTGCACCTGCGACGAGGCCCCCGACCTGGAGAACCGCGAGGCTTGGCAGTGGGGCGGCTGTGGCGACAACCTGAAGTACAGCAACAAGTTTGTCAAGGAGTTCCTGGGGAGGAAGCCCAACAAGGACCTGCGAGCCAGGGTGGACTTCCACAATAACCTTGTGGGCATGAAGGTGCGTGGCAGACTGCTCGAGGTGGGGGTTCATGCTGTTGTGGGGTTCGTGGGGTCAATAAGGTGCTGTACTTGGGTGAGGAAGCAGAAATATTGGCTGCAAAATGAATGGAGTGATCCCTCTGCTGGATGGGTGAAGACTTCAGACCTAGTTATGGAGCTGTGCTGTGCCCTGGTTTAGTTGGCATGCTGGTGTTGGGTTGATGGTTGGACTTCTAATGATCTTGGACGTCTTTTCCAACCTTAATGATTCTATGTTTTTGTTATTATGCTTCAAGAGTTGTGCAAAACTATTGGAAGGAGACCAGAGGGAAAGAACCAGGACTGTCCAGGTCTAGAAAACATGAAGTGGGGTGATAGATTGCTGGCTTTCCACGGGGAGGAGAGGATCTTACAATGCAAATGGATGGAAAGGCAGGTTCTCCAGGCTTACATGTGGCAGGACAAGGAGGAAGTGATTTATGCTGCCACAACACAGGCTGAGGGATGCTTTCCTTGCAGTAGTTCAGTAAAGCATGGACAGTTTAGCCTCTCCATAGCCAGGTTTCTTTAAAACTGGCTGGACAAACACCTGGCAGGGAACCAGGGTGGAGAATATTCTCTCTGACTGACCTCAGTCCTAAAAGTCCCTCCAGCCTAATTTTCTGGCAGCCTTCCACTCTGCCTAGAGCTGCTGGGTTTGCAGCTGGCAGTGCTTGGGTGTGAGGTCTCTCCTTTTCCTTTTATTTTCCCATGCTTATCCTCTCAGCTGGAAGACTTTCTGCTCTTTACCCCATGTTCCTCCTATGAGGCTTTACCCTCCTGGCTCAAGGCCTCCCTGCAAGACTGATGTAAAGGAAAATGTGTCTGCAATTGCTTGGTCATCCCAGCAAGAGAAGGGGAAGGAAGGGGCTTTCCACCTTCTCCCATAATCTGCTTGGCTGTACCTAGCCTAGAGTGGCTCGAACATGAAAATCCCTCAGATTGGCCAGCACAGGTGCCTAGGATCAGTGTTTCGTTGCACCAACCTCGAAGGGGGGACATACTGTAAGGCTATAAATAGCCTTTGAGCCTTGTTATTGTCCGTGTGATTGGATGGAGGGTTGGGGCTGGGATGGGGGAACCTGGGTCTCCAGTTTCCCAGGCAAATGCAGCCCAGCCAGTTGTGCATTCTAGGAATCGCCATCCCAGCTCAGTTGTTCCTGTGTGTATGCATAAAATGTCATTCCTTGCAGCAGAGTTGGGGTATCGGAGAATGCCACCAGTGAGTGCTGGCCAGCAAAAAAGTCTCCCCCTTTTTCCCCATCGCCAGATGCTCCTAGACAGCGCTGAGATCAGGATTAGAAATATCCTGGATTTAGTTGGTGTCTGGCTTTGGCTGACAGCTTTTCTGCCTCTGGATTAAAAGGCTCAGTGCCTCTGAACTCCTGTTGCAGCTCTTTGGTGTGTGAAATGGGCTTTGCAGGGTGATGAAATTTGTTTTAATCCTCGGAGTCGGTTGTTCCTGAAGGCCGGTCCCAACTCTTTGGAATTGACTGTGTAGCAGATGGGACTTGAAATGCAGAAAATGGTCCATGGAGGCTGTGATTTCATGCTGGAGATTGCTGTGAGATGTCCCTGCTCTCCTCCTTTTCCAGACTCATGTAATACAGTCTCATCAAAACCTACAGGGCTGTGGCTTTAGGCTCCATTGACATGTTCTTGTAACTCCATGAATATCTCCCCTCCAGCAGTGGTGGGGCTAAAAAACTTCTCCAAGGGACTTGACCCACCTTCCAGTGCTCTCCACCCCAGTAGCTGCAGTTGGGATGCTCATATGGCTGAGACTCAAGTCTTAGATTTAGAATAGGTGTCCTTGCTATCTCTGCTCTCCAGTGCCTTTGTGACTTGGAGCTAAACAAACTCCAAGGATGAGCTGGAGAGAGAGTATTTCCCCTTTCTTGTGCTGATGCTGCTGTGAACTAGTTCCCAGGGGAAGGGAAGATGTCAGGGACTCTCTTGCATCCTCTGCCTCCACTTGGCATGGTAAGGCCCTTGGTCATTGGCAGTGGTGTAATATCTGCAGCTAAACAGCTGAGTAACAGTTGTGACGGTTGTCCAGACACTGAAAGCCCTCGTGGCAATCCAAGTCAAAGACCTTTGCCGCAGGTCAGTGATCCGGTGTTCCTATTTTTGTCTACCCACACTGTGTCTGCTGAGTTGGTATTGCTGTCTGACAGCTTTCCTTGCCTGTTTGCAGCAGTGGTTGAAACAACTTCTCCATTTATGCTCCTAGAATAATTGTATCTTAGTCTGGTTAAAAGGCAAGCCAAGCAGCCCACCAGATTCACAACAGCACCGTGAAGCCAGGCAGAGAACAAGTGAGCTGCACGTCGAGAGGGAAGCTTTTAAGATGATGGTGGTTCAAGATCAGGAGAACATATGTCCACGTAGGCACACACGTCCATATAGGCAGGGTGCATGGACCTAAACCATTGGCACAATATAGTGTCACTTAGAAAATGTCTGGAGATGTTTGAATCGGAAATGAGGATCCCAGCTGGCTTTGTAATTGTGAGGTCAAAACTTGCAGTGCTTGCTTAAGATTTCAAGATATCAAAACTGATTTGAAGATAGAGCATTGGCCTTCTTGGTATGGTTAATGAATCTGGCATTACTTATACTTGGGTGTGGATTAATATCATGTTCAATCTGCTTTCCCCCTGCTTCCACTTCTGCTGCATCACTGGTGGAGGATAAGAGTTGCTCAGCAGGCAGTACTAGGTTCCCTCACTGAATTTATTGATATTTGCTTGATGTAGGCAGCGGGTTATATGTGAAACTTGGCATGTTTCCTCTACTCTTTGAAGAAAGAAGCTGCCCATCAACTAACTACTGCCTTACAGATTTTCCAACTGCTGAGTAGCTAGAGATGCTAACCTAGTGGCTATAACAGTCTGAAACCACTTTGAACTCACCTAGTGTAGTTATTTGGGCAAAATCTCCTATGTGTTAATTGTGAATCAAAGGCAATACAGAAGGAGTGCAGGTAGCCTTGATTTGTGCAATCTTTGAACCGAACAATTTTGAACTGGAGCGCTCGATATATATATCTAAGATGCTCTTGTGGCCTATGTGTTAATTGTCCTTGTGAGTCCCAGAAAGATTATTACAGCCATTTTAAGCAGAAGTTGAGATGCAAACTGAGTGCCTTTCCCCAGGTTATGCAGTGAGCCCATGATGGAGCAGGAGACTGAAGCCCGCTGTCCTGAATTCCTGCTCAGCACCCATTGTATTTTCCCTCTAACCAAACTACAGATTTTGTCTATCGGTGAAGCTATACGTGCATGAACCAAAATCTTTGCTGTACTTACATACTGCTTTGGACTGGGCTGGGAATGGACAAGGAGGCTTTCTTTTTGAGTACTTTGCCACGGGACCTTGCTGTGGTGTCAGCGTGTGTTGGTGTCCTTACAGTGTATGTATGGATGTGCATGTGTGTGTTTGCTGAAGGGGTGGAGGAATATCTGTTAAAGACATAACACAAGCTTGGTGGTCTCTCACTGTTTCTTAACAACATATAATCCTTCCCATCTAATTACTCCAAACCATGGCAAAATGTATAAATAAGTCCCTTGAGACCCAGCAAAAAGGGACCTGTGCTTAATTGACTGATTTGGCAACCAACACTAGACCCTTCTGGTCAACATGGCAGTTTCTCCATGGTGTCACACTAGCAAACAATCTGTGTATTTCTGCGAGGGTGACACTCTTCTATCCCGCCTAGTTTTAGTGTCTCTCGGTAGACGTTCTCATTTAATTATTATTTTACTTCTGTTTTTTTTACAACCTTGATGGGCCGACTGTAATTTTGCCGCCACCAATGAAATAATCACTGAACATGTTGTGCCCATGATGGCTCACAAAGTTATATGATATGACCTCAATTGCTAATGAAAGGGCGAGCTTGTCTAGCGTGAGGATGAGGTAATTAGACCAGGACTTCTCCAGCCTTCTCTTTATTGAAAAGTAGGAGCTCTGAATAGACCACTTATTAAAAAAGCAATTTCCCTTCCTTTGCCAAATCTACTCTCGCTCATTCAGCTATTCTTTTAGAAGGGTCCTGGGTGGAGATTGTGTGTGTTGGGGGGTGGATTTGTGAGTATGTGTCAAGGGAATGGGGGGTGGTGGTGGTGGTGAGGGAAGTCAACTGTATTAAAGCTCCATTGCCAGCAATGAAGTTTCTTGGTTATATTAAATGAAGCACGGGCAGCCTTGCTAAAGCTCTCTTCTTCTCTATATCCTCCCCCTTTTTCCTCCCTTGTACACACAAGTGCAGCCCTCTTTTGTAACCCATTAATGAAAAGTCGGAATATTAGAGCACTCAATTAGTTCCACTGGGCTTGAGTAAGTGATGTTTTAATTAAATTTGCCCAGTTTCTCAGCAAAGTATCATTAAACATGACTTTCCAACTCCCTCTCTGGAGCGTTGCTAAGTTTCTTAATCCCAGGAGTGCTGACCTCTTCCAGAGGTATGTCTGGTCAAGCATGTCTTACAGATCCAAGGGGCACTATTAAAGGGGGCTGCTGTTACCCAGAAAAAAAAGTCATATTCTCATTCCTTTTTCCCTTTATCCTTCCAGAAGGAGGGACACAAGCAAACCTTTGCTTTCAGGACCCTGAAGTTAGGGATATAATCACAGTCTCCTTGAGAGCCAATAGTGTTTAGTGCAAAACCATGGGAGGGCAGAAATGAAGAACAAAAAGAATTCCTCCCCCTGAAAGGTCTCTCTTTAGGCAATATCCCTGTTTGAAACTGGTACCCTTCATGAGGCTTCCTTAATTGTTTCTGCACAATATCAACTCATGTGTTTTGATCTGCGCAGACTATGCCTGTTTCTGAGGAATCCTTGGTCACTGTTGTTGCTGTAGGGTTCAAGTTCAGACCCATCTGGAGACACATTATGACTGCAGCTCTGAAACCATGTGGGATGCTCTGGATAGTGGGAAGTGTATGGACTTTTCCTTGCTGTTGACTTGCTT